ATAATAAACCAAGACTTCAACATTTTCTTCTATAATGATTTTGAAGGGATTGTTTTATGACAAAAAAAATCATAAGGGGATGGAAATCCCGACTACTCCCATAAATTTACCACTGTGTAAAGGCGTACTTTTTTATTTAAGGCATGTAAATATTAGAAATATTCATTGAATTGCTAAGTATATTTTATAACATTAAAAATATACTGTATACATTTTATAAATTTAAATATTTTKTTACACATAATTAATAAGTACAAAGATAATGATAATATTTAATGTTGGGATGGTAATAAACTAATAACTAATAAGCATTCGCAGTATTGATATTTTATCACAATAAAATTAATGTAAATAAAATAAATTAACTAAAATTTTTTCTATAATATCTACTTAAATCACTATATTTGCATCATTTTGATTATTGAGGTTTTAATAAATGTTATTTTTTTCCATTCAGCAATTTCTATAGTCTCACCCGGCTTAAGAATAAAATGTTTAAACACGACCATGWCTGAATGTTTTGTAGAAGCAGGAAATAAATTCATGGATGGATTGTACAACACTCTCAATGAACCGCCTATATGGAAATTTTATAAAACAAATGCCTTTAGAAATCTAGAAAGCTCACATTCTACATGTAAAAAGTAATTTAATTCTATAGATCACATCCAATAGTAATTTATAATATTTGGAGTTTTCAGTTTTATTGATGAATACCTGAAACAGAATCATGACCACAATGCTCTAGTTAATGCTATAAATACAAATTCCAAATTATCAAAAACTGATATTAATTTACTTGTGCTAGAAATATTTTTTGGCGGGATTGACGCTGTCAGTAGTTATTTGTTTTTGTAACTTTAATAAAAAAAATAATAATATTATTTAATTTCTTATACAGACTGCTACTACATTGGCAATGACATTGTATTATATTTCTCAAGATGAAAATGTACAAAAATCTTGTCAAAAAGATATCTTACAAGGTACAAAATATGCATATCTAAAGGCTTGTATAAAAGAAACACTTAGAYTGTCCCCTACTGCAGGTGCAAATGCCAGATATCTCCCAAAAACCACTGTCATTGGTGGTTACGAAATTCCAGAAAATGTAAATCCAAAATTATGATTTTAAATATAGCACAATAATAATTTAAATTTTAAATTATTCTTAAATGTTAGACATTGGTGATGGCGTTCAATTCTTTAACATCAACAAAARATATATACTTTAAAGCTCCATTAGAGTATCAGCCCAGTCGATGGTTAAGAAATTCTCCCAACAACCAAAAGTTTGATCCGTATGCTTCATTACCTTTTGGACATGGACCTAGAATGTGCCCAGGGAGACACGTCGCTATGCAAGAAATGACAATACTTCTATCAGAAGTAAAATAAAACTACTAATCAACAAAATATGTAATATTAAGAAATATTACATTTTATTTTCAGTTAATTAAGAATTTCAAAATTAGTATGCCAACTGAACAAACAAAAAAAATTGGCATGATCTATCGCATGAACAGAATACCAGATAGTCCCATAGATTTAATATTCAACAATAGATAAACACATTTTTTTCGCAAAACATTATTTAGTTTTTTTAATTTTTTAAATATTTTTTCTAAACAATCATCAACTTTTGTGAAATAAAAATGTATCACTAAAT